AGCTGCACATTCAAGGCCTCTCACAATGAGTCATCACTGCCGAGGTGGGGCAGAGTGAAAGTCATTTTAAATATCGGAACATTTCGAGGTTCAAAACATTTTCTCTTTGCTTTTAGCTCAGGTTTTCAGCTGGCTGTCTTTAAACACAAAGGCAGATCCTTGACCCAAGCTGTGGCCCTATACTGACGAAAACTTTTCAGTATAATAGCAGACTAGAAGGTCTCTACAAGGGCTGCACCTTCTGCTATGATACAAATGTACCCGTTTGGACTTCGCAAAGCAGCGTTACACAAGCAACACTGACGGACGGAGGAGATGTTTATTTTCTGACGAGAAAAAAGGAGAGCCCCGACGGTTTCCAGAGCTCGACGAGTCGATCCCAGCGGAGATGTTTTCATTGCTGCATAGTCGATGTGGCCCATCCTGATTTAGGACGCTTGGTTCCACCTCATTTGAATGATGGAGCTCCAGGTTGTGCTGAGGTGTCAAACTGCAGCTGGCTGCTGCAGCAGGTATCCCTCTTGACAGAGGGGCTTTTTTTTTAAGCGGCAATGACATGCCGAAGCAGTTCACAGTTCCCATCTGCCAAGAGACTTCTTCTCACGACCGTCCTGTGAAGTCCGTCCTTACCAAGTCCCATTGAAAACACGTATGGATGGATGGATGGCAAAACTGGTTTGAGGTCCAACACCATGGGTTTTGTGATTCCATGTTCTCCACATGGAGCCACCTTCCAACTGGAACCAGTGGCACCAAGCACGCCTTGAGCAGTGGGGTTACCCAGGAGGCCTTTCTTTGACAACATATTTTTATCTATTGGGATTTTTTTGGGGCAGGGCTATGGTCTTAAACGTTTGATCGGCTGCCTTGTTTTCATTTTAATATCATCTTAAAAAAAATACCAACTGTATCCTTTTATCCCCTGTTTCTGTTTCTTCGTTTTGCATTTTGCTCTATTGTTCTATTTACAATCTGGCTACAATCCAGCAGAATGAAATGTGAACCTCACTCAGATTTCCCTTCAGTAGAGCATTAGTAGATTATCAAAACTACCTGAAATAGATGGTTGTCAAACTTGACGTGAAATGTTAAGTGGCCTGTATTTGTGTAGCGCTTTATCAATGAACACTGATAGATTTGCCACAAAAAGATATCTGAACGACTATAATTTCACCAGTGTTCAAGAAAAGTCTAAAGAGCAGTAAAGGAGTGTAGAGTACCAAGACTTTATTAAAGTCGTACAATTTTTTCCTCCATTTCTTAAGATGATTTAGTTTTCCTATTGAGTTCTTTCAGTTTTTTTCTCTTATCCAACTCCATTTCAGCACCCTACTTTAACTCCCAAAGGCTTTTTGCCTTTTTCCTAATGGTGATCTTTATTTGTTATGTCATCCACTGCTTGTTGTAGAATCCTCTTCAAACATCCGCAGTGGTTTGCATGGTGGATATGAAAGTCTCCTTAGTTTCTTTTGTCCCTGGCAGGGGGCCAGTCTGAGCTCACCCCAGCAACCTGTTGTCTTTTGTCTCCCTTCACTTTTTCACTTTTTCAGACTCGTTTCACAAGTATAAAGTGTTGTGCTTTTTCACGATAGACCAATGCAAAGTCGTACATTCTGAAGATGAGGCAAAATGTTAATTTTCATAAATATGAATCTGAAGACTCTGTCACGCGTCAGCACCCCGAGTCAATATTTTCCATTAGTAAAGCCACATTTAGCTGCGAGCATTATGCGTTACGTCTCTAAGTGGTTTGCACATCTAGGTCAGGAAATTTATACCCATTCATCCTTTGAAAATGACTTGGGCTCAGGAGGTTCCTGATGGTTTCCGGAGCCTGATGATTAGATGGATAGCATCTGTGAAACTTAATTTTCAAGTCTTATCACAGATTCTCGATTTGTTCTCGGTCTGGACTTTGACTGTATCCTTTTTTCTTTTCTTTCTTTTTTTTAACACATGAATATGCTTTGATGTAAACCATTTTGGCACAACTCTGTTTGTTCGGGTTTGCAGTCCTAGAAGATGATGCACATGTAACTTTTTCATCTTTGTCTCTTGCGACTGTCAACATATTTTTGTTCTTCCAAAGTATTTTTGCTCCATTCATATTTCATCAAGTCAGACCAGATGCTGCAGCCACCATGTTGGGCCTGTTCTTCCAAGGTTTTATGAAATCGAAACTTAAAATTAAGGGTATAAATGTTGACCTTATCTCAAGCTTCATTAAAAAAAAAAGTGAATTAATTAACAAAACATTATTAAAAAGGTGTCATTTTCACAATTTTTAAAATAAAAAATGGTTGACTTTAATGTAGCACTTTCTTTTTGGAGATAGGAAAAATCTAATCTTTTTAAGTGGAGAGCTGCAGCAGTATTGCAGATGCAGGTTATTTCAAAATTAGGTTCACAGATATTGTGACCAGAATCAAATCCGTTTGCTGACATTTTTTAATGAGCAAACTACATCTGGTTGTGAGATAAATAATTTTAGCTACAAGCAGCAAATAAGTAAAACTAAAGGATTGAAGAGGATTGCACACACACACACACACGCACACACACACACACACACACACACACACACACACACACACACACACACACACAAATAGAGAAAACAACGTTTGCAGGGGCTGCAGAAGACATAAACTGAACATGATCTATAGAATTACGAAGACAGTAACATGATGCAATGCTAACAAGAACAGAAAAACAAATGGAGAAATTACTATTAAATGCAGCTAACAGTCCCAACGCCATGCAAGATGCAGCTTTCTTAGTAATAATTTATTTGTGGAGCTCTGACTAGGCTGCTTATATGCACCTCCAAGCACACTGATTTTCTTATGTCTCATTGCTTCCTAATTATTCCCCGCAGTACAGCACATGCTGTTATTGATCAGATCATTCTTTCCAGTATCTGTCTGCAGCTCTGGCCGGCAGATTCACCTTAAGGGAAACAACACGTCTCCACCATCTCACTTTTGTAGTGATTGCATAACCAAAATCTCTCTCTCTCTCTCTCTCTCTCTCTCTCTCTCTCTCTCTATCTATATATATATATATATATATATATATATATATATATATATATATATGTAACTTATAGGGGAAGAGCTTATCTCACTAATCGGTAACACTTTATTTGAAGGGGTGTGCATAGGACTGACATAACACCTGTCATAAACATAAAGAAGTCCTTATGAATGTTTATGACAGTTGTCATGAAGTGTCATTGAGTAAATCGGGTTAGGGTTAGATAATTATTAACCACAGCGCAAAAAACCACAACAACAACTTATTTAATTATGATAACTTAATGCAAAGTTGGCATTTTTAACGGACTTTCAATGCAACTTTTAGAGCAACTTTGCATTAAAAGTGTCATTATTTACTGAATGACAGTTCATGACAACTGTCATAAACATTCATAAAGACGACTTCATGTTCATGACAGGATGTTATGTCATGTTTATGACAGCGTCATGTCAGTCAAATAAAGTGTTACTCACTAATCTCTAATAATTAACTAAATACATTTGTTGTTTACTGGGATATTTTCTTAATCATTTTCTTAATTTTTTTGTCTTCTGTGATTTTTTTTGAAGTAATGAAATACAATATATTGGCTTTATTATCCTTTGATTTACAGAAGTTAGATTTTTTTTTTTTCGGCACGGTTTTTGTTTGAGTATCAAGGCTGCCCAGTTTTTCAGTTTTCAGTTCTCAAAACTGAACATATTTCATAAAATTAGTCTTCCGATTCACCCCACGCACTCTCAGTGGGGTGCAGCTTGCTGGCCGACCAATTAGGTGACACCATTTCCATTGCATCGGGTATTGGCACTTCTGGCTGTGTGAGCAGATGCCAAGTCCTTCTGCAAAATGAAGTCAGCTCCTCCATTGAACTTGTCAGCAACTTGATTACTTGATAGCAGCAACAACTGCCATAAAGTATTTGTGATAAGTGGCGACGGGCTTTTTAAAACACTGCGGAGGGATTCTGGCCCACTCGTCTTTGCAGAATTTGTTTGAATTCTGGAGGGAACACCAGCAGCCTGTTTTAAGGTCGCGCCTCTGATCTCATTCAGATTTAATCTGATTAAGATCCTCCCTTCTAGGGTTCTGGATGTGGGAACGCATGTGCCCCAGGAATTCATCTGTTTTTATCACGCAAAGTTGTTTTTTTTTCCTTTACCTGAGTATCGAGCTGGATTAACCCAAAATTATACCTCAAACTGTAAAAACTTAACCCTTTTCTTTTAGCTTAAATGCTTAGAATTTAATTTCTTACACAGATTCCCTCTGAGCTTTGAATTAGCAAGTAGAATGTGTGTTTTCAGTAGATAAGAGCGAATCGTTTTGCGTGAGACCGATTCGTTTCTTAGTCTTTGAGATACTTTAGTGGAGGTTATCAATCTCTTACGTTTTCTTTTATTGTGCCTTGTAGCAAACAAAATGCCTGCTGAAGACTCTGTACGATCGCTGTGAGCCCATATCTCCCTCTTGTTCCATTGATTTAGAGACTAATTTTCACTGTCATAATTCTTCTCTGGCATCTTTTTATTAAAGGACCGGGGCAACGCCTGCTTTCTGACTTCAGGAGCTAATACCAGCGTTGTTGCTCTCCTTTGTTTCTTCCAAGGTTTCACACTAATTTCACTCGTCCTGCCGCTTTAGCTGGAGTATAATGTCAGCGAGTCTTTGTCCACGCTGCTCTTCAGGAGCGTGTTCCCGTGCTCATCACCAACCCGTCTGTGGCTCATGCTTCACTGCAGCCTTTGTCACGTTGTTGTTTTCCTCCGAAACCCTTTATGAACTTCAGATTGTTTGGGGATTTTGAGACCGTCGCACGATTGACAGAGACATAATGGAGATCTCTCTATTTTTCTGGGCCCCGTGTGGCCATTTTGCATCCGCGAAAATGGTCAAACGTGCTGAATCTTTATTAGGAATCGCACAACACCGGGGAGAAATCAGCAGTCAGTGAAACAAAGCTTGTGTTCCTGACGTTTATTCTAAGGGGAACGAGATAATAGGTCAACTTTCAGTCAGATGTATTAATCTCAACAGTGCAAAGAGAACAAACAGTCTTATATAGAAAATTAGATATAGAAATTTGGGATTGGGTTTAGTCTTCAAATACAACCAGGCTTATTTAAATATTAACACTGAAAAGCAAAACAAAGAAATCCTTATACCATTTTTGAAAAGTAGCTAAAATCAGGCTCAAAATGAATTGCAAAACACAAATTTTACAGTTGAAACCAAAACACTGAATAAAAAAAAGATATAACTCCCCCCCCTCCTCTGTCTAAAGTTAAATCAGACCAAACTTCTCTTGGTAAAGATCAGATAGAATTACAAAAATGATTTATACTTGTTATATACCACAAGAATGAGAGAATATCTCAGAGATTTATTTATTAATGTCTTCAGTATAATTTACAGATGCAGTTTCAAGCATCACCCCGTGGGACTGTTTTCGCTGCGTGAGAAAACCAGTCTACTATCCCAGTTCCACCAGTTCCGTCAGGAGGAATCGGTCAGACTTCCAGCAAACTTTTACGAGAAGCTCGTGGGAAGCATCCCCAAAACACTTGACCAAAGTCATACAATTCAAAGGCAACACTACCAAGTACTTAGGAAATCTATCTGAATTTCTGATTTCTTTTGAATACGTTAAAACTTACATCTCTGACATATTGTTCCTCTCCTTGTCTCAATGTGTCAATAAACAAATCTGAATAATTTTTGTAATTCTAACTGAGCAAAAGAAAGATAATATTTTTTTCTGACTTAACTTCAGATGGTGAGAAATGGTGTTTTCTTTTCTTTTCTTTTCTTTTTTTTATTTTGTTTATCTAAGCTTCTGGTTTCAGTTGTTTGTGCTGACAGCATGCATCAACCAGGGATACATTGAGAAAAAAAAAACAAAAAAAAAACCCAACCACACATCTTCGAGGACAGGCCGCCTCCTGCTCTGACATATAAAAGTTGTCAGGCTGTGGACCACTCATGCTGGGTATAATACCCATCAAGTTTACTTTCCATGTTGCAAAGGTACAACTAGAAGGAAATTTTAATGTGTTTTGTTTTTATTTGCTTTTTATGTGATAGACGGAAATGAAATAAAAAATTTATTAAAAAATCTGGGAAGTGCAACACCCATTTCTGTTTGGTGCGTCCAAGTCAAGACTTTTTGAACCGCCGTTTTACTGCAGTGACAAATGAAAGGGTTTGGTGAAATGAGTGGAAACATTATTTAGAGTGATGACCTCATTTACGCAGCCAAGCTTTCAACATGTTTTCAACATTATTCGTAAGCCGTTTTGTCTCGTAACAGTTAATTTCTACTGAGATTAAATTACATGCATTTTAAGTCTGATTTCTGAAGTTTTGCTGCTGGAGACTTTATTGTGGGTTATGAGAGTAATGGCTTGGACACAAATGCACTTTTTTGAGTTAAATTTTTCTTTTAAGTTTCTTTTTATATAACTATGACCTTTACGTTGCTTTGTCACATAAAATCCAAATATTACGCTCTGACGTTTGTTGCTGCAATATAACAGAATTTGAATTTGAACATATTAAGGTAATATGAAAACTTGTATAAATGCTCTGAATAGCCCAGTGCAGCAGCTTTTAGAACAAATATTTTTAGAATTCTGCTAAATTCCACTTTGTTTTTTTTGTTGTTTTTTTTCTGTTTTACCTTTAAACTTGTCTTAAGAAAACTTCTAGAAAAAAAAGAAAAGCTATGTTACCATATCTAGTAGCCAGAGGTACCATAGTACTGGTTGATTGAAGGATAACCCAATCACCTACTGTCTCTTAGTAATGGGTAGCTGCCAGTTTTGTGGTTAGTTTTTATTACGATTATTCCAAACTTTAGTTCAGGGTGGAATCTTTCATGCTGGTCACATGCTGGCAATGCAGAGATCTACGGCCGACGATTTTTTTCTTGGAATCCACTTGAGCAGAGTCCTGCACAGCTTTTTGCTCTTCAACTTTGTCTTTGTGAGGTTCCTAAAGATGGCGTTTCGAAGGAGGCCGAGGTTTGAAGGCGCCGCCAGATATGCGGGGAAACTGCTGCTGTCACCCGGTGAGTGATTCAGAACCTCCAAGAAGTGTCGCTCCTGCTGCCTGAAGTCGTACTCGACACTGGATGGAGACATGGCAAAAATAAAGAAGTTGTTAATTAAACATATTAAAGGTTTCGTTTGGACAAACTCAAACTTGAGTTAAGGATTTCCAGATCACTTGTATGGAGGTTAAAACTTCTTCATGCCACTTGTTACTTAAGAGCTGCTACGGACAAGTTGCATTGTGTGACGGTAGTCTGTATGTGCAACGCCTTTCCTTATCAGATTTCAGAATTACTTTGGACATGAGCACATTTTCCAGCCTGGCACCCATATTCTTCTAAAGACACGTCTTATGTGAAAATGCTCATGTCTGCCTCGGCCTCTTAGGGCCAGACGCCAACATGCAGCATTTAGCACTTCAACATCTCTATCTCTCTAAAACACAAGCAGTTTTGAAAGTAAGTAGATCAAGGGACAGGTTTTGAATATTTGAAGACAGCTGTTACTGTCGGAACAAGGAGGAGAATACTTTTAGATTTAAGAACCTCACTTAACCTGCTTCCTGCTTCCCAATATCACTGGGGCAAATTGTTGAAGTTTTACCTTTTCTGCTGCCTACGCATGACGCAACAGTTCTGCAAATGAGTGCAAACCAAGACAAGGCACAGATATGGGAAGTACAAAAAAAAAAAAAAAAAGAAAAAAGAAAAAAAGAATGATGAATCCTAAAACGTTAGATGAGCAACAAAAAAAAGCCAACATAATTCAAAACCATTCTGTACGTTGAGACTGAAAACCAGAGTCTTAACTCCATCAGCAAAATTGAAAGTTTATCCTTTACAATGAAAGAAACTTATAGATGTAGATAACTGTTCTTGTCTTAATCCTGATCACAGTCTAAGAGTTTGCTCACAAATAATCACAGGAGAGAATGAAATGGCAAAAACGTGGGGAAGTAGTTCTCCTTTGCCGCACGGAGCTACTGTTTACATTTACTGACGTTTACGAAGATTTGAGGCGAAAACACACTACTGTCCTTCTGTATTATGAAATGAGACAAAGACGTCTCTCTCTCTCTCTCTCTCTCTCAACTGCAGTGGCAACGTTGAGCTTTTCATTAGGTGTGATGCAAATCCATCACGTTTTCAGAGAAATGAAAAGCAGCAGGCGTATCCATAAATCGAATGCTTTAGCCAACCCCTCTCAGCAAAGTCCACATTTTTACGTTCACCCAAAGTGTTTGGATAGATAGTCAAAGCCCATGTCTTCCTTTTCGACGTCGTCTCTACTTGAGCAAACGAAACACCAAGAAGCAGCACAAATTCACTAAATTCATCACACACCAGAGGAGTCTGTGTCACCTGTAAGTAAAAAAAAAAACAAAACAACAACAAATAAATAAACATGTCAGATCAAAGATTTCGCTATTGGCTCACCTGTACACAATACAAGCAGTCTTCTGGCAGGTCGAGCAGTTTCTCAGGTCCAGTCCACTTTTATGACATCGCCGACTGAAACGAAACAAAAGCAAATTACTTCCACGGCGCTCATCTTCTCGGATAAACAGCTCAATCATCTTTGCGCTTATATCCTCTCCTTCTGAATCCGTTCGGGCTGCTGCCTGGCGTGTGTTTTGTTAGACGCCCGTCTCTTATTAGGAGTCTGTTATTCTGAAAGATGACCTTAGAGGCAGTCACAACTTATTAACGCACAGCAGCCAGTAAGAGTGACTGACAGAGACACTGTGCCAGAAGGGCGTTTTAATTCCCCTTATTTTTCCCAGAAGAGCCGGGTGGCTAAAATAAATCTCTGTGAGACGTGGCCCCCTGAATTGCCCAAGTAGGTTTCTGTCACACATGCACACACACACACACACACACACACACACACACACACACACACACACACACACACACACAGTCGCTGACCTGTTTGCAGGCTTTTAATGATGTTGCAGCATTGCACTAATAACCATGACAATTGTCACCTCTCAAATACATTTATGTGATCTCTTATGTCATTTTTATAGTTTTTTTTTTTTTTTTTTTTTCATAAACACACCACAG